CCTGCAGGTTAAAAAGGAGGTCCTTTACAGATGAGTACTGCAGATTCCTACCTCTTTGGTTGTCCCAGACTCACCTACAAGATCACACCACCCACCCTGGATAGACTTTCTCCTTCCTTCAGCTATTTTTCTGATGCCCCTGGTGCAGTCCTTGCACTATCAAATAAGGGCAGCTGGAACAAATGGAAATGAAGTCGTACCAAGTGTTTCCCACTGGGAAACAAAGCAATCCAGACTCAGTAGGAAACATCCTCCATTAAGAAGGGTCTAAAATGTGGTTTGTGTTGCACAAATAGGCACGTAACTGGAGAACAGCTCCAGCTCCAATTCACTCTCTCTGGTATCCATTACAGCTGAGTTTTAACAGCACTTTCGTGGGCTGAGAAGGAAAGGGCACTGCAGAGAATTCGATGTGCATGCCTAGGATACATTTTAGAGGTGAAGTGTTTTTTAGCTTCTGTCAAAAGGCTGTTGCCAATTCAAATCAGACCTTAAGTTCAAATACGAATCGGTGAACGTGTTTTGCTAACAACTATTCTAAAGGGTTATTGGCAGGTTTTAACTCTATAATTTACTGCAACGCAGCACATCAAGTTCATTGGCAGTGAGGGATTGCTAACCTCTGATCTTCAAAGCCACTCTGAGAGAACAAATGCTTCTTGTTGCTGTGTGTCCCCACCATATCTCTGCTGCTCTAGGACCACGGCATTGACCTAGACAACCTGACTAATATGGTTAAAGCACTCCAGATTTATATCATAATACATGGTTACCTTTGCTCTCACCATACCACAGGTTTAGTTTGTGACTGTTGGGTCAAACAGCTTTAAGCATGGCTCTGCGGAAAATTTGTAACTTGCCTCCTGGATTTTACAGTGAGATTTCTCTCCCACTATGCATTAACCCAAAGTATTTCTCAGGTAGCCCTCCAATCTCTGTAACATCTGAACGCTTCGTTACCTGTAACAGTTATCCTCTCAACATGGCTATGAAATGTTGTCATCCCCATTTCAGAGGTGGGGAACTGAGGCACAGAAAAATTAAGAACTGGATCTGCGATGAAACCTAGGTACCTCTCTGCCCACCATTTAGCTATCATGGAAGCCATCATGGCCCTGTCCAGTTTCGACCCAACTGGGTACTTTGGAGAGGTTTGTTCAACAGAAAGCATGAATCTCTAAAGCTATTTACCCCAGAATCTCCCTAAAGATATGGAGCTGTGGATGCAATTCCCCTTATCTCAGATATCTATCTAATATAGGTCAGACAGATTGCCTCATAAATGTGCCTGTTTCCTTTCAGTGACTCTAAAGTGAACCTAGGGACAACAGTTCAGACAGAGAAGTCAATGCTATAGATGTCATAAGCCTAGGGAGAGCAGGTGGCCTTGCTAGACACTTCTAGCTCTATTTTATTGCATTCTATCTTATATGTCAAGGGGCAGATGTTCCTCTAAAGAGATGGTCCATTGACACTGACTTCCAGGATAAAAAGCAGGAGGAGCTGAAACCTCCATTGTGATCATTCTTTACACTATCGTCTACGTTATCGATGCCTCCTATCGATGTCCTGCAAGGTGGCTGTGTGATCCGTAAAGCAGCTAGGTGGCAGTTTAAGACCGAAGCACTCCTGGAGGCTGAAGAGAGAGAGGCAGCTGTGGGTTGCAGGGCTCTTCCTCTGTACTAGCTAGATCGTCAGTAAGACGCAAAGAAAGATGACAACACTGTCTTCACAAGATAAGGCTATCATGATTATTATCCTATTTTTCACACATTTTCTCACTGCCCCCTTATGCTTCCTTTCTAAAGCCTTTTGAGGGGCTGGAAACTAGAACACTTTTGGTGCTGCATCAAATACACTTTTTTAGTTAAATCTTATTTTTGCAGACATGCATAAAACAAGACATTCTCGCATCTCTTCCAACCATTGATACAATACAAGCCAGAGAATTTAATTCAAAGACCCCCTTGTTAGCCTGAAAAACTTAACTTTTTAAGATATATTTTCCAGAAAGACAACCAGGCTCAACGTGACATTTAGAACAGGATTTAAGAGTATGTTTCTTTCCTCAGACTTGTCATTAGTGACCCAAAACATAGAAGCAAGTCTGATTTAAAAAGAAAGTTACTGTTTTTGAATGGAGAGAAAACCCTGGAGAAAGCATTCTTTTTCAAATTCTCTTTTAATTATTAATTCATTTTAACTTTTTTCTAATGGAGAGGAAGACAGAAAGAAGTTGACTGTGCCCAAAACCAAGTTTAGTTTGAAAGAAAGTGTATACTTTCACCTGAGGGGAAAAACATCCACTTAATTGTAAAAACAAAGCTATTTTTAAGGGAGAAAAAAAAAAAAAAGCAGTTGGGGTCGTGTCCCTTAAATTCTTTGCCAGGTCACGATATGTATATGCCGAAACTACAAAGGGAACCTGTGGGCTACAGCACAGAAAGAAACGAAACAGCACCACCTTGCCATTCAGCATTCTTGTGGTCTATTATTGCAAGGGAAAAAGCTAAAAGAGAAGCCAGGACCTTCCTCTTGCTCTGTAGCACAGCTTGGTCTCTACATATTTAATGTAACTTCAGGGCTCTCAGCATGTACAGGTTAGCTAACTACTACTTTGCAAAGAGAATTGTGCTGAAGGGAAGGGAAGGCTGCCCGAGTTCTGTATGTCTGAAAACACAGCTGTTTGTTCACAGTAATTCGTGCATAAAAGCAGCACTGGATTCCCTTGGTCTAAGCTTCAGTCTCAACTCCTCAGCACTGTCTACGTTGTCCAATCTGCCTACCATACACCCTCCTTCCTAAATCACATGAATTGCTCATACTGCTGCAGGAGTCACAGCTTGGGCTATGGAAATAGAGCCTCTAGTCCACAGTGACCACCTTTTGAACCCTTTTCTCTTGTATTTCATGAAATCCAACATCTGCACTCTGTGGGGCTAACTTTACAGGGAGAGTCTGCTGGTAATAGGCTTGGATCCCCAGTGCTTAAATGTAACTTAAGTAATTATTCAATTCCTCTTTGCCATTTTGATAGCTACAAGATGTGTTCTGTGGGAATTGCTGCCTGCACATACTGCTGCCCTTCAAGAATTCATCAATCCTTTCCTACACAGGGGTTATGGGATCAGGGCCCCATAGTAGGCATTTAACTCAAGTGCCCCTCCCCAACTTATAAGGAAGCCACAGTATCTGTTCCTTTATCATATTTGTGCAGCATTTTCCTTTGAAATAGCTCAAGGCAGAAGTAGGGAAGCAATAATGTTCCTCTGTTACCTGTGGGAAAGTTGAGGCCCTAGGTGCTCATCCAACAGGAGGCAGACAGAACAAGGCATAGATATGAGACCTCCTGACTTTGTCTCGCATCTCCTGGGGATGAGGCCACTGCTATGAGGTCAATTGTCTGGTGCCATTTGAGACGTTCGAGTGTCTGACATCCAAATAGTGGCTGGCATGTATGGCAGGACCATGCAAGACCAAGCCATGCGCTGCTGGATTGGCAGCCGGAAGATACCCCACAGCACCTCAAATGGCACTAGGTGCCTACATTTAAGAGGCTGAATCTTACCACTACTCACACCTTTAACATCAAGGAGCTTTGAAACAGCACCGCAGAAATGCTTGTTATTCAAGTTGCAAAGTCCTCCTGCCCTCCTGTGAAACATTCCCTTGCTAGAAAGGGAAGTTCAGGCAACATCTCTGAATGTCTGTATATCTGAAGATATAACAGAGCTTGGACACAAGCCCATGCTTAGGCACATGCCTGGAGGAGCTCCAGGGTAGGACAACTGGAGGGTCACATCTATCCTTCCAGCCTGCAGGGCTGATAAACCAGGCTTGGCCAGGACTACGCCTGCTAGGACAAGTTTTCTGCCACCATAACTCCTACAGCAGTGGCAGCAGGGCTGGTGTGGGGAAGGCAAGCCACCTGGCTCCTTCTTATACTGCTTCTGAGATGCAGACAGCAGGGTAGCTGTAGGCTGCTGGAGTTGCCACGAGGATTAAGGAAGTGAGCAGAGGAAGAACCGAGGGTGCGCCATGCCCTAGCACTCTCTCAGGCCCCCCTGAAGCCTGGACTTTGGAAAAGGGACTGGCTTATGGTCAAGACAGGAATGTAGAACAAGAAATGAACCAGACCCAATAGTTTCAACGCCAAAACCACGGTTAGGGAAGTAGGCTACCCTTTTCTGCTGTCAGCTCTTACAATAAGTGCATGGTGAGAAAAAGAATGGACCAACTTGGCAGTCACCATCCATTGCTATCTCATACCCAACTCCTTCTGTCCCGTTTGATCTAACGCTTCTCCTGCAATGTTTCTCCAGGGCTTGGCAGTCAGGCATCAATTTATTCCAGGGTCTCAGGAGCATCCTGCCTCCTTCCCAGAGGTCTGGCTGCCAGGGCTCAGAGTCAGCTTGGGGACAGCGCAGCGAGGCCTGATCCCCATCCTGTGGGAGTCGTTCTAAGCAGAGGCTATAGGGCTTGACTCCCACCCAAGATACAGCCCCTTACTGCCTCATAGCCCTGTCCATGCCTCACCATGGGTCCGGCTGGCTCGGACTCACAGACCTGCCTTATCACCATGGACTTGTCCAACCATCTGAGTTCTCCATTTACCCTGGCTGCCATCACCCCACTCCACCCCATCCTGCAAAAGCAGAGTCTTAACAATCACTTCTAGCTATATGTCTGCAAAATATGAAATACGTATCCAAAATATGAAAGCCTTCAGGAGCCTGAATCTTCAGAAAAAGCTATGACTAAGAAATAAAGGCAAAAAGGATTGCTTTATAATCATGAAAGCTGACAACACTTGAGACTTTAAAAAAAAAAAAACACAACAAAAACTGAATATGAGCTCTTTGTTGAAACTCCTGTTCCCTGAAGACTTCCAAATTGTTGGAGGCCTGGAGAAGTGGGGCCGCTAGTTTCTATGCCACTGTGCTGTTTTACAGTAACCCTTCCAATTCTTAAACCACATTCCTCTTTTCCTTCTTTCCCAGGCCACCACAGAACCCCCGAAAAAGAAGCCGGACCCTGTGACTTCAGAGACGGTGGTGATCTGGGGGCTGCGTCTCTGGCAGGTGATTGGAATCTTTGCCATCTTTGTCCTGGCAGTCAGTAAGTCACAATTCTCTGCCTTGCGCCAGCTAAGCACCACCCTAAATAGGACCCGTTCCTGACCCTGGGAGGGCTGCAGACCACACGGCCATGGCTGAGGCTCTTTGGCCTCTGGAGTAACAGGGCTACATATGGCAGAGGCAGGCAGGATGGGATCTTTGAACGACCTGCAGATTTTAGCAGGTGTTTCATGACCTAAATTTCTTTTTATGGATCCAGGCATTAGGAAGCTACTGGCTGAGACCTGGTGACTACTGTGGGATGGGATCAGGCACTCTGCCAGCAGGCTTTGAGGGTCTGTCTAGGTGTGGCTGATTCCCCACCACAAGGTCTTCATCCAGCTTCATCCCCTTGCAGGTCACTCTGGGAAGGGTAATTAAGCCATCTTCACTGCTCAGTGCAGACTACTTTCACTCACTTGCTATTGGGAATGTCACGCAGGACACTGTCAAGACCTTATCAAGGTTACGGAAGATGAGATTTCCTGCTTTCTCTTTGAGCCAGCTATACTGTCACACTAAGAAACTAGATCAGTTTGATACAAGCCACACTTGATAAGCCCATTCCTGTTTCTCATGTTCTTGTTACTTTCTAGGCATCTGCAAAGTGTTTAATAAGTTAATTGCTTCCAGCATCTTTCCAGGAAATGAAATTACACAGACTTGCCAGTAACTCCCTTAATTGTCCTTTTTTTTTTTTTTCTGTTGGGGATAAATGAGCACTGGGACAGAGCCCATATCCAGTTCCTGAAGGCAATTACCATCAGCTCAGCAACTGCCACAAATCCTTAGCCACTCCAGGAGGGATACCACCCTGCCATATGGTTTTATACGCACCTAGATCTCCTAAACATTTTTTAACCACCTTCTCTTCTGATTCTGGCTTGTAGTCCTAATTTGTTTGCTGAAGTTAAATTCATATATGGAACAATGAACCACTTTAAGATGACTGAAGGAAAGAAGGCCTCGAGTGCCTTAGCTTTCTTCATCACTTTGCGCTCTCATTCTTCGTTAAGTAATGGGTCTCTTCTTTCCTGCTGCCTTGGCCGGTTTGATTAATTGTAATCCCACTCGTACCTGAGCACTCCATTTTTTTTAATCACTCTGTTCCAGCTAATCCTTTTGTTCTTCATCCTTTGTTACACATCCTTATTCTCATTTTCCCATGGTTCCTTCTCAATTCCCCTGCTCAGGAAAGAGTCCTTCTGAGGCTCTAAAGGTCTCTCATTCTGCTCCGCAGACTTCCTTTTCACAAGTACAGAGTAATATCGTCCCCTGCCAGGTTTCCTGCTCTCTTGTATTTTTCCACCTTTCTTCGAAACACTATCCCAAGCAGCTCGCTTTCTCCACATCTTCCCCTTCACTCTGCCCCTCTTCTACTCTTTCTCTCTTTTCTTTGAGCAGTGAACTTTGTCAGTTTGCAGTCACTTCCACATTTCGTTTTTAAGCAGGCTTCCTGATGAAAGTCAGGAAAAAAGTTAGGATAGGCTTCCCCTGAGAACAGTGGCTCCTTCCATAGTAGGAAATTAAAATTATCCAGGACCGTTTCCTGCTTTGGAGGCTGGCAGGCGTGAAATAGCCTCGTCCATAAACTTTAAACCCTCTTACTTTTCAAACGCGGCGGCCACATGTGAACTGCCAGGAGAGAACGATCACGGGCCGTACCAACCCCAACCTACAGGCAGCCGTTGCTTGGGAGAGCGCAAGTCTGCTGGACACCCTCCACAACGTCCTAGTGTTGACAACTGACTTCTAAGCTTCCTTGCTTTTTAAATTTACTGCTAAAACTGCAGCTGATGCAACATCTAGTTGTAGCCCTAGTTTACTCAAAGGACTTAACAGGCTGCGGTGTTTTCTCTGCTGATATGGATGAAAAAGAGTCACCTGTTGTTACCAGAATCTCCACTTTGGTTGCTGTAGGTATTCTCTATCAGTCCTTCCCCAATACCCTTCCTGTTATGTTCCCATGCTCTTTTTAAACCGGAGACATTCACCTTTTCAAAGCAAGTACAAACCTTTTCCTCTGTTTTCTTTTCCCCTCCTTGCCCTTTCTGGGCAGATAACATACCCTACACCCAACGAAGCCTCCAGGATAAGTGCTCTTAGGGTTTTCAACTGTTCTCAATTAGTGAAGCGTATGTTAGTTCATCTCTTGCCACAACACCCTTTGCAAACAAGCGCAAGAAAATCTGTAAAGTAAAATAAACATGACCAAATATTTAACTCCACGGACTCCCTAGAACGCAGGGAGCAGGGATCAAAATTAACATTGGCAGGTTTAAAATCCAAGTAGATGCAAAGGGGTTTCTTTGGTTGGTTGTCTTTGGTTTAGAGACATCATACTGTAATCAGTCTTTCCCCCGGCCCCGAGTAAGCGTGTGGTATCTTGTTATTGTTTAGAAACTGGCTTTGGCATTACCAACTTATTTAGGATTATTACAAGCAGGAAAAATCTCTCATGCTGGCAAACTAACACATCAGATTCCACACCAAGATGTGCCATTTGAGGGAAAGAAGCTAAGCTTTCTTCAATTACCTAAAAATCTCAGTAGCAAGAAGAAAACACTTATGATAGTTTATCATTCTGGTGACAGCCCAGCAATGAAACTTATTACAGAAAGCAGCTTACAAAGAAAGTTACAGCCCAGATACTTAAAATGCTGCAAGTGGCAAAAAGTGAGAAGCTGTATTATTTTGAGGATCTGAATTTAGCCAGAGTAACAAACAGGACATGTGCAATTCAACTACAAAATACCATCTGCTTTAAGGTTCAAGAGCCCACTGACACACACAGGTCGTTTCAGTTATATATTACCAGAGTGATATTTTCTAGGAAATTGCAGGTTTTCAGCCTGCTAAGTCTTAGCTCTCATCAAGGTGATAAGATAGATTCAGCGTGTCACAACAAGGAAGGGAGCCACTTTAGGGCTCTTCTTCTCTGATGCAATCCTTTTATTTAAAGAAATTGTTTCCTTCAATGAACAGAATGGATTTGAAAGCACCTATATCAGCTTAAGCTATGTTATCAACCAGCTTTATGAAAACAACACGTTATATGAGGGGACAATTATTACCCTTAGTTAACCATGTCAGCAATCTGAGTCAAAATATAATAGGTTTGAACCTAGTAATACGAGTGTAACTGGATTTCACAGTCAGTTCTCACCAATCTCTTGCCTCTTGGTCCAGCCACATCTCCCGCCTCCTCTGCTTTGCCTTCCCCAAAGCATTGGTGGTTCCCCAGGTTTCCCCTGCAAAGTTTCACCTCCCAGCAGCAGGCACAGATTTCCTGTGAGCAAGCTCCTGGAGGATGCCTTGATATCAGCCTGGGACGCTGAACAACACTTGGCTTTTCCAAGGTGACCACAGCCAGAGAAGAGCTTTTGTGTGGTTCCTCTGCCCAGTTCCAGGAGCACAATCACCCTCCCAGCCAAAGCTGGAGCTGGCGCAACCAGAGGCAGAGGCATCCTTCCCAGGGCCTAGGCCTGATCCCATTGGTTTACAATCTCACCTCGTTATCAGAGCTTTAAGACCTTCAAGGTGTGTCTGCTTTGTCATTTGAATTCAGATGAGGAATACGCATTTGAAGCCGATGTCCCTGCCTACCTCACTCTGATTCACATCAGAGCGGTTGTGGGACACTCAGACTGGATTCCTTTTGGATGAAATGGAAATAGAAGATACGCCCCAGAAAGATACGGTCCCACTATACACCAGCTAGCATGCTACAGTTGCTAGCAGCACCCATATCTGCAGGATCAGACTTGAGCTACTCCACTGAAGTGCACCAAACATGGATGGTAGGTCTCCCGTGCTTTCACCCCCCAGACCTACTCTTGCTGCACAGCAGGACTTGCAAACGTAGATGTGATTTAGGTGCAGTTTCAAACTGCTTTTAGCAACTTCCACAAGATGGCGTCATCACATAACAAATGGTGGAAAATGGCCCAATTCGAGACTCTGTTACATTGCCTTATTTAATGACGTGGTGGGGGGAGAGGAAAAGAACACATAAAGACTTATGTTGTCAATACATGTCACTGAAATAAATGACAAGTCTCTGGGGAGGTCTTCTAATCCATAGCAAGGTTTTTGGGCATTTACAAGCCAAACAGCGTGCTTCATGACTTTTGACCACCAGAGACCAGAAGAAGAGCTAAAATGTTTGCACACCTGTTAGCAGAAGTTTTGCTGCTTCTCCTGGAACAGCTGATGGCCAGCTTTCTCAGATACCATAGGAAGGCATCTTCCAGCCTCCTCCTGTCCGACAGCCCATCCCTTTCCATCCTTTTCCTTTGCTTCCACTCTATGACGGGATACAAGTCGTGTGACAATTAAAACTTCAGGCTTGTAGCAGCCCACTGGCAGAAATGTGGCTTCACAGAACACACAGAGAGCATTCAGGTGGTGCTGGAGGTATAACTCTCATGGACATGCTGCTCAATCATCATATGATTCTTATTCGTCTACCAAAAAACCCAGGAACGCTAAGTTTTTTGCTCCAGTCAGAGAAGGCCACATTAGAGCTCATTTTTAAAGCAAGCAGACCCTCTACAGGGAAAACTTAAAGAGAAGGAAAGGAAGAAAAGCAAGTTTTTCAGGTACTGCACAGAGTAAGTCAAGTCACTGCTGCTCCTCTGCCTGCAACATTTTTACACAGTCACTTTGTCCGTGATTACAGGAAATTTTTGCTTCTAGATATTTTAATCAGGTAGAGCAAGGCAGGCCTAATGCCTGGCGAGCGTCATGGCAGTGTGCCTTTAAATCCTTGTCAGGGCTGCCTCTCAGCATCTAGCATAATTCAGCCACACTGGGTTGCTTATTTGAGTGCCGGCTGATAAGAGAAGAAACCCCCGGCATGCAGGAACATCTAGCAGTGAAAGCTGTGGCATCTGGCTCTCTTCCTAGGAGAGGCTGCGATAAGACAGCAGCAGACACCCAAGAGGAGATTAGCTGTCAGGAGGATTTGATTCACTCAGGAGAACTGCTATCTTCTTGCTA